TTAAACTGATGCTTTGGGGTTAAACTAGTAAAGTCCTTTTGTTGACTTCTTATCATACACACTGTACCTTCCCTTATACATTTTTTTCTTTCTCTCCCTACTATATTTTAAGATCTGAGACCAGTTTGTCTTAATTTAGATTTGCATCTCTAAAAGTATTTTGATTACATTTGGAATTCAATAAATATTTTAATTTTGGTGAAGTTGAAAGATGAGTTAGCAAAAGTAATTTATTTTTCTGCCAAACTGTGTCACTATCTTACCCTCTTTTTCATATTTTCTATTTTAAAGTATATAGTCGTGTGTGTGTGTGTGTGTGTGTGTGTGTGTGTGTGTGTGTATGCAGTGCTGAAGACTGAACCTAAATTTTATATTAGGCTACATCTCCAGTTCTCTTTAATTTCTTTTATAAATTTGTGACAGGATTGCATTAAGTTGCCCAGGCTTGGCTCGAAGTTGAGATCTTGCTTCAGCCTACAAGTGTGCTAGGATTACAGGTGTGCACCACCATGCCCACCGGGGGCCATGATTTTGGGGTGTGGGCATAATTTTTTTTTTTTTTTGCTCCGAATGCCTTCAGGGCAGGTTTGGCTGGCTTGAATTGTGGGGATCGAACCCCAGCAACCTGAGCCTTGTGGGCATAATTTTTATACCTGGCATCGTGAACACATACTTTCATGGTTCATAATAATAGTGAAACGTGTCATAATTTATTTTTATAAGTGCACCACCATACCTAAACTCATGTCTTAATAATTAAAAACACTAATGTTTCAAAAATAAATACTTACTTGGATTCAGAATCTAGAACAAACAACTTTAAGACGACTAAGAGCACGGATGATGCTATAATTCCAATGGACATGACATTTATAAATATGAAGATCACATGGTAAAGACTCTTCCACAGTCCATGCAGACCTTTTCTGAACTTTTCATCTAACGCACACTCCTAGAAAAGGAGTTTTGGTTAGATATGCAAGTTCCATAAACTCTTACATTCTAAAGTAGATTAACGTTTTAGTGTTGGGATGATGGAAATATTTTGTATATTGACTGTGGTGATGGTTACACATATAACTTTATTGTTAGCACAAAGGGTACAGCTCAGTGGTAGAGCGCTTGTCTAGCATGTAGTCCTGGGATCAGTGTATCCTCATATTGTCAGTCTCTCCTATCTCTGTCTCTGTCTCTCTGTCTCTATGTATATGCACACATACATGCACGCACACACATATTTTAAGCAATGTATCGTATTTTTAAATGTACCTTAATAAAGTTATGTATAATCTTTTTTTAATTTAAAAAAAAGAAACTTCAAGACAAAAAGAGAGTGATAATGGTTAATAAATTCCATATTGTTATCTTTAAATTACTCAGAGTACAAAATAATATTATTGTCCAAAGTTATTTATAGGGACAGCCAAATAGCTCAGCAGATTAAAGTGCCTGCAAGCAGGTGCAGGAGGGCCAGGAGTTCAATCCCAGGGCCTGCCATGCCAGCCCCGCCCCTGGGGTGCACTGAGAAGGCAATCGAGACTGGGCGTGATGGTGTATGCCTGTAATTTCAGTTCTTGGGAGGCTGTAAACAAGTCTGATCTAGTAGTGAGACCCTGAACACCCTGTAGACCCTTCCTTAAAATACAAAATAAATACATAAATAGTGCTTGCTTCGGCAGCACATATACTAAAATTGGAACAATACAGAGAAGATTAGCATGGCCCCTGCGCAAGGATGACACGCAAAGTCATGAAGCGTTCCATATTTTTAAGTATAAAATACTTTAAAGTATTCCTGTTCAGTCTTTTTTATTCAATCACATTCCTGTATTGAAAAAGAGCAAATATATCAAGTAAAAAGTAGTTTTTTAGGAGGAATAATAAAACTATTCAATGGGGTTTCAAGCTCATGCCAAGATTTATGAAATATTTAAAATCAAATAATATATAGTTAGGGTGAGAATCACAACACGCAATGTATTAATTATTGAAACTGTCCTATTAATTGCTTTTGAAACTGTCTCATTGCATTTGTCCTCAATAAAATTAATTTTAAAATGCTAAATAAATAAAGTTATTTATAATCTTAAAAGTTATGTTCCAAAACACAGGCATAAAGTGGTTAATAGCCTTGTAAATTATGTATGCTTATACTGCTAGCTAAAAATAAGTAAAAATAAATGCTAATTGATAGGAGATTAGTTATACTTGTCTACTCTAAACAGTATGCACAAAGGGGCTGGAAGTATAGCTCAGCAGCACACCACCTGCCTAGCAAGCTTGAGTTGGAGAGTTTGATTCCAGGTACCAAAAAATAAATAAAATACCAGAAGGGACCAAATCAATTTTAAGCTTTAAGTAGCTAGAGGACAAGAAATGGAAGAGAAAGACAAACTTTTTGTAGCTTTGGAACAAGCTGGAGGTTCACTCTATACAAAATATTTCCATATTTCAAGAGCAAGAGAAGGATCTAAGCTGGGTACTGACTCCAACTGCTATGAAGAGAGGTGAAGACAGTCTGCTATGAACTGCCAGGGGAGGTGAGGGGCAGTACTTCATAGGTGCCAATGCTTTTACATGTAATATCTATTTTATTTAATCTTTACAGCATAAGAGATACTTTACAGATTAAGCACAAATAGAAACAGGTTGGAGAGTTAAGAATTCTTCTAAGACCATATAACTAATCAATGGTAGGTCAGTTTTCAAATGTTGTCACTGTATAAGATCCCACACTCTACCTACATGTACAGGTAGTAGCTGCAGAATAAAAAGAAATGGAAAAATGAAAAAGAATTTTGGAACTGAAAATTCCCAGATGAAATCCAAGTCCTTCATAATTACAATCCGACTGTGTTGTTACGGTGCTGGGATAAATCTAGGGCCATGAGCATACTAAGCAAATGTCCTATCACTGAGTTATATGCCCAATCCCTGTGAATGAAGCATAAAGAAAAAAAAAACAGTATCTAAAAACATCACATTAAAACTATAATGACAATGTATTAATTATTGTAACTGTACCTACTAACCTGTCTCATTTGAAACTGTCTCATTGCTGCTACTTTCTCAATAAAATTAATATAAAAACAAAACAACAGGGCTGGGGAGATGGCTCAGTAGAATAAACACTTCCCTGGCAGGTGCAAGGGCCTGAGTTCAAACCCCAGTTCCGCCAAACACACAAACAAACAAACCAACAACAACAAAATAAAACTATAATGAGTTCAATGTTCCATGCTTTCAATTCTGATGGTTTCTATCTCTTTTAAATATTACTATCTACATTCTTTACCCTAACACCAAGTAAAGCGAACAGCAAACCCATACCTTATGTGAGGATGTAGGTTCTGCTGTGTGAGGAGTTTCAGGTAATTTGCCAGGTGAAGCATGTTCATCTACAGTGGTTTCCACATTCCTGATATGGTGCTGGCTGGTGGTCTCCAGTGAATTCACACTTTCTACTAAGGAGGAAGAGCACAGGTAGCAAAATACTAATGGCATGCTGGGGTCTCTTCTACAAGTCCTACGGTTACTATACTAATAATGTCTAGGATTGTAAGATCAAATATTTTACCATGGGAGGGGAAAAAATTTTTAAGCACTAAAGAAAAACATATTGTTGTTTATAAGGGGCTACAGATTTTGTCATACAGAAAACCTAAATTTTAAAAGCTCTATTTTCAGTGGAAAAATGAATACTTCATCTTATAAATGAACCTTTACAGTATTATTATAAATGTCTATATCATTATATGATAAAAGTGGATAGCTACTGGAAAAACATCACTGTGCAACCAGCACTACTTACATTTTACTGTGGCTCAAAACAGCTTCCTAAGGTCTTTAACTGGACATAAAAGTAACACATACATACATATTATGAAAGGTTTTGTATTTTATTTTTTGCAGTGCTGAGTTAGATTAAAGCAGAGCTTCATACACTTAGGCAACAGCTCTAGCCCCTGTAGGTTTGTTTTGTTTTGTCATGATAGTGGTATTAAGCCCCAAAACACTTTACAACTGAGCTATAGCTCCAGCTTGTTTTATTTTATATTTTGAGGCAGGGTTTCCTAAATTGCCCAGGTTACCCTCAAATTTATTGCCTCAGCTGCCCCATTATCTGGGATTATAGGTATGCTTACTTTTTAAACATTAACTGTAATTAAAAATATATAGCAATTTTATAAGTAATGTAAAAGTTATAAACTTAAAAGAATATATAAACTACTAAATAGTTTCTTTAATATTTTAAAAAGATCTTTCAAATTACCTTTTTTGAAGAGGTTGGGAAGGGTAAATAAAATGTCATTATTTGGAGAAATAGAGTACAGCATGCTTTCTTCCAAAGGAAGGGTGTAGTTTGAACGTGTGAGTATTCCCTGGTCCTTAACTAAAATATCAATTTCAATAACATCCTTTTGTTGAACCTGTTAAAGAAAAAATAAGTACTTAAAAAAACCCAAATGGCCCAGCACCATATTAATTTAAAAGTGCATTTTTTTGCCTGATGTCTCTAGTTAAAAAACTTGTCCTATTCAGACAATTATTACTTATTCCTTCCCACTTTGAAATATTTAATTTTACCTTGAACATACTCATGTCTGCTTTAGCACTAACAATTGTAAGTTTAATTTCAGTTCCATAGACTTAGAAAAAATGGTAGTTGAACTATGAACCAAACTTAATCTCATTTTCTTTGTTTAATGATGTTTAAAATATTTTAAATGATATAGATATGTATGAAATGTGAAATTTCAAAAATTAATACATATCAAGTGCTAAAACAAGTCAATTGTAAATGATTTGATACAGGCAATTATTAGGGTACCTTCTTAATCAAGTCAGAAATCAATAAAATAACTGAACACATCCATAGCAAGAACAAATATAAACCTTTGTAACTGAATTCCCAATTGATATGCACACTAACTTACTTGTCTTCCATCAATCTCTACTACCACTTCTTGAATGACAATTAGTTGCAAACTGGAACCTGATGTCATTGGCAACTCATGAACTAAAATTCTTACATTGACAATTCCAAAATATTCCTTTTCCTCCAAATTTCCCAGATCATCATTCTTCACTATAAGAAAAAATAGTGACAGCTTTGAGCAAAATTTGCTGCCATATTTGTTACTGAATTTGATTATTTTGATATTTACATGGAACGAGAGTTGAAAACTGATGCTGGCTTTCTTCATCCTTGACCTTAATACTATTTCAGATTTATAAAAACAAAGACTATTTGACAAAATCTTACAAACAGCTTTCACTCATTTGAAAAAGGGAAATGTCTGGCTGCCCTTAGATATTGTAAAAAATGTTACACCAACAGCCTCCTTCTACACAGGTCAGCAGTAACAGAGCCAACATGGTATAACTAGTTTACAAAGTAGTCTACAAGACACAGTATATCCCATGTTTTAGCAAACAAAGAACATTCAGGCTGGCCAGATAGCTTAGCGGACTAAAGTGCCTGCTTAGGCAGAGCCCAGTGGCCGGGGTTTGATGCCCAGCTTGCCGTGCTGGCCCCACCCCTGGGGCGCGCTAAACTGGTGATTGAGACTGGGCATGGTGACATATGCCTGTAATCTCAGCACTTGGGATGCTGAAAACAGGAGAATCACTATGAGTCCGATCTACATAGTGAGGCTCTGTAGATCTGGTAGACCCTGTACTAAATACAATAAGAAAAAAAAGAACATTCATTCATTCATTCACTCATGAAGTCCAATAATAGAAGTAGCCCAAATAAAAATTGTGGGTTGTTTTATGAGCTTTAATCCTTTCCCAGTAAAGTTATTTGCTCCTCTTGGAGAAATCAGGAACAAGAAAGAGATGGGAGAGATGATTATTACTCCCTCTAATGAACAACAGGATAGGACTCGCTATTGACCACACTCCCTTCTAGCTAGAAATCCAGTGGAGATGGGGTGTGCTAGTTACAGTAGTTACAGAGCAAGTGGCTATTCTATTAAGACAAAAAGTGCTGCAGAAAAAGGAAACACAACACACATCAATGAAACCTTCAAACAGGAGCAGTATTATATGCTACTTTCCAAATACTCTCAAGGCTATTTGTCAAAACACCCAGATACACATTCTGAAAGTAGGCCTAGGTGTTTAAGCTACTAGTCCTTTTGTCCAGACTCTCCTGATACCTAGTTCATTAACCTCTTACTATAATAGTTACCTATTTTCCCCTTTAGTTCCTCCCTTTCCAAGCCATCTATACCACAGGGCCTAATTATCTTACAGCGGTATTACCGTGATTGTAAAGCCTCTAGGGTCAAGCACTGTCAGTGACAGTACCACTAATTTCCTGACTGCTCTTCTCCTTCGGGTTCCTCACCTACAGCCCATGTTCCCTCTCTAGTGTGCCTAACACTCATATCCTTTGATATGTACAACTGTAATTTGTCCCCTCTCTCATTGTCGATGTTGAAATTTGTAGGCATGTGCCTTTTATTTTTGTTTTTGATATTCTTGTGGTGCTGGAGATCAAAACTAGGGCCTTGTAGTTAGGCAAGCCCTCTGTCACTAAGCTACTAAGCTATATCCTCAGTCCTTTTTTTTTCTGTAAAGATGAGGGCTTGCAAGTGCAGGGTCCTGAGTTCAATCCCCAGTACCACAAGGAAAAAAAAAAAAAAAAAAAAGATGAGGGCTTGCTGTGTTCTCAGGCTGGTCTCAGGCTTCTGAACTCCAGCGAACCTGCTTCAGCCTCCGGAGTGCTGGGCCCACAGGCTTACACTATCCAGCTTGGCTTCCAGACAGTGTTTTAACTGTTTACTGCTGATCTTCCAGCCTTGTCAGCAGATCTGGATGGCCAAAGCCTACGGCACAGGAGACTCAAAGGATGAGAAACCCACTGCCTCTCTCCCGCCCTCTAAATGTGGGCTAGGCCTAGACTCTTGTTTCTGACAAACAGCACAGTACCTATTCTTCATTTCAATCTAATATTATTACACATTTAATGTAACATGTCTTCTTTAAGTAACTCAAACAATTTTTCTTTTTGAGACAGGGTTTTGCTATGCAGTGTACACTGGCTGTGAACTTACTTTGTAGCCCAGGCTGGCCTCAAACTTGTAACAATACTCCTCAACCTCCTAAATGCTGGGATTACAGGCATGTGCTACCATTCCCAGTCCAAAATTTTTAAAGATTAAAAAAAATTTCTACTGACATAAGCATATAGGAAATTGAAAATAAGAAAATCACACAGATGCATCATTTTCTTCTTATTTTCTGTAACTGCAGCAGTGGTACTTTGGTTCACAAACTTAATCCGTTCTATGATTTTGGAAAAAAATGTCCTATTTGTGTTTGTGAGGTTAAGATGATCATAGGTGTGTTTGTCACCTAATGTAGAGTTTGCAAACGAAAACAAAAATTCTGCCGAACACTTTTATTTCGTGAAACAAACTGTTCCACAGACAAAAGCATTTGCGAATCAAAGTAGCACTGTATCTCTCCACACTTTTGGTTCTTGCTCTCCTACCTCTTGGCACATTCTTATATTAATCTCAACCAGGCCTCCAAGCACGTGGGAGGCTGAGGCAGAAGGATCGAGGATTGTTGTGAATTTGAAACCAGCCTGGGCTACAGAAGTGAGCTCAAGGCCAGCCTGAATTGCATAGTGAGGAAAAAAAAAAAAAAAAAGATAGGTTTTAAAATGATTTAGGAGTACTCACCTATTAAAGTCTGACAGCTTATTCGGGTTACACCACTATTTACAGGTAAGTCATTTACAGATACCTGTCCACTTTCATAGGTTATATTAAGAACAACCTTAAAATAAAGCAGCACATTCATTAATTCAAATCATTTATAAATGATGACAAACTTTTCATGTCAAAAATACATTATTTTTACAACTAAATTAGGTGTATTGATGCGATGGGTTGGATGCAGTCTGTCCCTCAAGGATTCACTTGTTGGAGGCTTGGTCCCAACTGCAGCGGTGGTGTTGAGGCTGTGGGACTGCAGATGTGGGGCCCTGTGGGGCGTCCTCACAGCGCTGGGAGCACACCTTCAGAAGGAACGGGGCTGCAGGCTCTCTCCACCTCCACCATGCGCTCCTTTCCTCAGTGCCACACTAATGCCAGCAGCTTGCCCCTACCCCCCATAACTGTGAGCTAAATCCATCTCCCTTTCTCTAAAGTAGTCTGGTGTAGGGATTTTATTTTAGTAATAGAAAATGAGTTAATACAGTAGTAAAAGTACAATAAACTGCATAACACGTGGCTAAGTAGCATATGGAAAACATAATCAAAAGAAACAAACCTGTTCTTTAGATACTTCCCCATCATCTTTCAGTGTTGTTACATTAATTCTGATACCACCCTGCAAAAGAAATATATATGCACAGGTAGCCAGTTCATATATTGAGGATGAGTCAGGTCTTTTTCTCTCTCTGGGTATTGAACCCAGGGCTTTGTGTTTGCTAGGCAAGTGTTCTGGCGCCGAGCTACATTCCCCAGATCATTTTCACTTTTTTATATACCCTTTTATTCACAATTCCAAATTTTTATAATCTATATACTTTTCCCACTTAATTGTGAAGTATATCACCTGTGAGCATATAATACGCAACTGTGATATAAAAGAAAATATTGTTTTATGTACCTACAACCTAAGTTAAAATCTGAAATATTACCCATGCACTCAAAGCCCCTGAATGAGCCTCACAAAGTACACTCCTCAACCAGAAAGATCTATACTGATTTTTTTTTAAAAAAGATAGGCTTTCATTAGGCAGTTCACAGGATGTCCTCAAACTCTCAGTTAGCCTCCTGCCTCATCCTCCCCAGTGCTGGGATCGCAAGCATGCAGCACCACACTTGGCCCCTGATTTCCATATTAATCATTTCTTGCTTTTCTTTTTCTTTTTTTTTTAATGCAGAACTGGGGATTGAACTCAGGTCCTTGCATTTGCCAGGGAAGCGCTTATTCCACTGAGCCATCTCCCAGGCCCCTCTTGCTTTTCTTTATAGTTTTACTATCTGTGTATCCCTCTTTAAACATATTTCTTATGGCTTTATCTGTTTTTGAGCTTTACTTAAGTAGAACATTTTGGAGATTTCCAGGAAGATGGCAAAGTGGTGAACAGCTGAGAAATAATCTCCTCAAGATTTAGTATACAGATGCTGGAATATAGCAACAGGAGTGCAGAATTGTTCAGGATCTTACTACTAGATCGGACTTGTAGTGATCTGCCTGTACAGCCTCCCAAGCCCTGGGATTACAGGTGTGTGCTACCACGCCCAGTCTCAATCACTGTCTCATGTGCCCCAGGGGCAGGGCCAGCATGGCAGGCCTGGGGATTGAACCCCCATCCCCTGCACCTGCTTGCAGGTGTTTAATCTGCTAAACTATTTGGCCAGCCCTAGTAACATGAGAAAGAGGGGAAGTGGGTGTCTGGGACCCAGCAAGGATCTGAAATGAGAACTGAAGCCTATGGGGACAGAGAAGAGACAGACATGTCAACAAGGAGGAGGAGGTGACAAGCAGTGCTTTCTTCCTGAGCCCTAACTCACTGTGTTGGAGGGACAGCTTGAACCAGGCTACTGGCAACCTGAGGTCTCCACAGAGAAACAGACCAGTTCAGTGGAGCAGTGGACTCAACAGACAGAAGTTATTTGGGTTCAGACATCCTCTAGGAGAGGGCAACTGGCCAGTGGCCATCTTGGAGAGAGGCCAACACGAGCTGAAAACACAGAACAGCTGTGGGTTGGGTCTATCTCGTGGCTGCAGTATCAGGGTGAGGCTGTGGAGTTCAAGTTGGCAGGAGGCACATGGAGCGCTGCAAGCTGAACAAATTGGATTCCAGCCTCACAGCCAGAAACCAACCTCAATTTCAGTGAAAATAAAGGTGAAGGTTTGTTGGGACTATCCACTACCCTGCCACAGCTACAGCTCACTTGCTGGGATTAATCAATACAGACATGTACTGTCTGCCCACTTTGTCACTCCTTCAAGTGAACTTTATGTCATTTTTTTTCTTTTTTCTTGTTTTTATATAGAGTGGGAACATTGTTTCTACTTTGTTGTTCTTCTGGTTTTTATGTCTTCCTTTTTTCTTCCCCTTGTGTTTCTTCACCAGTTTCCCAAAGTTGATGTAATCTTCCTTTGTTCTCCAGCTTTGCTTCAATACTCTTCCTCTTCTATTTCTCTATTTTTCCCCCTTTTAATTTTCTCCCTTGAGGGAAAAATTGCTACAATGAGGACATATTTACTGTATACAATTTTCCAGTTTGTTTTAGACTTTGTTATACAACCATAAATTTAGTTCTTATGGTTAAAGGTGACAAATTAATAGTTATCACAATTTTTCATCTTCTAAGCTGTGTTTGATGCTATTGTTATTGCTAATTGTACTATTTTAGATAAGGTGACACAATTGTTTTAATCAGTTGTGTTTTATGGTATGCCAAGACTGAGATTGCCTGTGGGTCATTCAAACAAACAAACAAAAACAACTATAAGCCAGTATCAAAGAACCAGGGATTAGACCAAACAGGCAGCAACTTCTCCTGCCCAATTAATTGAAAAGCCAGGCTATTGCAACAGACTCAAAACCCAAAAGCTAGCTATACTGGGAAGACATCTCTGAGAAGCAGTCATTTCCTGAGGGTTCTAAATACTAACAAAAAGGGCCAGCCAGATAGCTCAATGGACTAAAGTGCCTGCTTAGGCAAAGTCACATGATATGCCCGCCCTGCCCCCAGGGCACACTGAGACATTGATTAAGACTGGGTGTGGTGACACCCACCTTTAATTCCAGTGCTTGGGAGGCTGAAAACAGGAAGATCACTGCCAGTCTGATCTGTGTGTAATGAGACCCTGTGGACCCTGTACTAAATATATAAAAAACAAGATTGAAAAATACTAACAATAAAGCTACCTGTCAAAAGCAATTGACAAGCATCAAAAAGGAATTAAACTTAAAAAAATAGGAAATAAGACATTTAAGCAAGGTGCAAACCCAGAACTCTAGCTCAGCAAAGGTAAACCCAGCAGGTTAGAATAATCTAAAAGCCACCTGCCTGGATCATTATTATTATAATTTTTAAAATATTTACTTGGTACAGGATCTTGCTACAAATTTCACACTCACAGTGATCCTCCTGTCTCAGCCTCCAAAGCACTGGGATTACAGATGTGTGCCACCATACCAGGTTTTGGTGGCTGGCACAGCATGCCTGGTATGGTATGCCCAATGTTCCAGGGTCTGCACGGCATTTGTTACTGGAGCTCGAACCTGGGTCTTTACTCTTGCCAGGCACTTTAAGGCAGGCACTTAAACCTCTGAGCTATCATGCCAGCCCCCACCTGGATTCTTTTAAGTGGTAAGTAACAAAGCAGATGAATGAGAACCCAGAAAAAAAAATCAAATCACAGATAATTCCTCCAATAACTACAGAGATGATGACCATAATGAAAAACATACTGAGTGGCTTTAGAGCAGATACTGATAAGAAAAAAAAAATAGAAGAGCTTAGGAAAATGACTGAAACCATGAATGCCTAACATAAGAACAAAATGGGATCCATGAAACAGATTGAAACAGATATCGAGAGAATAAAAATTCAGCTAAAAGTATACACAGCAGAGTGAGTCAAAGTGAAGACAGAATATCAGCCCTACAAGAGTGAGTGATCGTGCAAAGAAAGATTTCGTTTTTTTAATGTATTTGGTACAGGGTCTACAGGGTCTCACTATGTAGCTCAGATTTGAAGTGATCCTTCCGTTTTCAGCCTCCCAAGCACTGGGATTACAGGTGCGCACCACCATGGCCAGTCTTAATTGCTGTCTCAGTGATCCGCGGAGCAGGGCCAGCATGGCGTGCTGGGGATCGAGCCCTGGCCACTGTGCTCTGCCTAAGCAGGTGAGCTAGTCTGCTGAGCTACCCAGCTGGCCCTAAGAAAGATTTCTTAAAAATAGTAAGGGACCATGAAAAAGTCAATCCAGCAGCTGCTAGATGATACAAAGAAGAACAAAAAGTTGATCAGTGTCAATGAAAAGCAGGACATAACACAAATGATATTAAAAAAAAAAAAAACCAAAAAAACAAACTTGTTCACAGAAGTAATGGCAGAAAACTTCCCAAGCAGGGAAAAAAATTTGACATACAGACAAATGAGGCATATAGAACACCAATCAAAAAACAAAATAAAACAAACAACCACAACAAAAAGACACCTAGGCATATAATAGGCAAGATTCTATAAATTCAACACAAGAACAGAATATTAAAAGGTGTTAGAGAAAAGAAACAAATCACCTACAAAATAAAGGCCATCAGAATCAACAGCAGACTTTTCAACACAAACCATCAAATCAAGGAGAGCTTAAAGTAAGGAATTTCAAGCCCCAAAAGAAAAAACTTTGAACCCAGATGGATACAAGGAAAAACTATTTTTCAAAATTGATACAGTTATAGCAATCATTGTTAGTTTTCTATTCTTGTTTTGAAATTCTGTACCACTTTTGTTTCATGTTGCTTTGTTTTTGTGGATTTTTTCTTTAAAACAAAAATTTAAAAAATTGATACAGAAAAAGATACTTCCATGGGAAAGAACACCTGAAGAAATTCATGAACACCAAACCAGCAATCCAAAATATCCTGTCATTCTATAAAAACAAAACGAGAACTACAACTTCATGAACTGAATCTAACATGCAAGGAAAGCAAGTCAAGCATGGGGGGGGGGAGAACAAGAAAATAAAGTCACAAGTCAGTAAATATCAGGTATAAGCATCAATGTAAATGATCTCAATTCACCAATAAAAAGAAGTAGATTAGCAGAATGGACAAAGAAGCAAGATCCTGCCAGGCATGGTGGCACACACCTGTAATCTCAGTACTCAGGAGGGTGAGACAGGAAGGTCTTTGCAATTTTGAGACCAGCCTGGACTACAAAGTGAGTTCAAGGCCAGCCTTAGTTGCATAGTGAGACTCTGTCTCAGAAAAATAAAAGCAAGATCCAACGCTATGCTGCATACAAGAAACACACTTAATTTAAAAAGAAATTCATAGAGCGAAAGTCAAAGAATCGAAAATAATACTTCATACAACAGGAACCCAGAAAATTCAGAGGTTAGTATTCTATTTGCAGACAAAGTGAATGTCAAGACAAAACTGATTAAGAGAGAAAAAGGTTACTACATCCTTGTTAAGAGAACAATCCAAGAAGAAAAGATAATACTCATATATATTCACTAAATATGAGCGGCATAAATAAATAAAACAAATATTAACAGACATGACAAATCAAATAAGCTTTAACACAGTTGTAATTGGGTAGATTAATGCTTCATTGTCACAAACAGACAAATCAACT